TAAACAACTTCTTCTAACAAAACTAAAGAAAGTATTTTGAGACGTATATACTGAAAAAAATAAATTTAGAATTTTACACTAAAGTTTGAAAAAGAAAACAAGCAATGCTTTACCTCATAAAGTATTATTAAGACTTATAATGTAAATTATTACAAAATTAAATTAGTTTCATTAAATAAAAATAATAAGAAATAAGTTTAATTTGAAATTATTTATTAAAAATATAATCAATTTACATATTATAATTTATTTATGTTCACTTTAGCATGGACCATCAAGCATCACCGAAAAGAGAAATATTCTCGTCATTTTACATCTCCAATCCTTGATCGACTTCTATATTATCTTCACTTATTAACGAACTCATGGGATGCTCTAATTGATTGTTACTTTCATTGGTTACTAATCTTGTAGTGTATTCCGACTTTGAGCTTCTCCTAATGATAATTTTAATAGAAGGTTTATTCACCATCATAATATCGTCATCTTCATCTAAACTCTTAAATCCACTGGATAATAATTTTTTCTTATTATATTTTCGTTTTCCAGTTTTATTTGATGTGGACCTTCTTACAGTGTATTGCGATGTTGGTGTCTTTCTTTTAAAGATCAGTTTAAGACTTGGTTTATTAACCTTCTGCTTATCATTGAAACTCACCTCCGATTCGCAATATATGCCACTATCCTCATCATCGCTGTATTTATAATTTTTCACTGCAACATCTCTGAAATTATACATACCTTTCCTTTCATTGTTTAATTGTACAGGCTGAACAGTGTACACATAATTTGAACATTTTCTGCTAATTTTCAATATGATAGGAGAGTTGTTGAGAGGAATTCATTTTTTGAATTTTACTTGTGAGTGTAAGTTTGTAGTACTTTAGCTATGTTTGCTGAAGTAGTAATGATTTTATTTTGGAAATTATCTCTCTTACATACAAAATGTACTGATCATGAAATATCAGAAGGTATTAGCAAATTCAAATTTAGGGTAGAGGTTGACCCAAATTAACAGGTAGTTGCAGATTTCTCTTTAAATTTTTGTAGTGCTGTGCTGTATATTAAAATATTTAGTTTTATTGTATCCTTACTGTTATAGTAGTACACAATTTTATTATCATATAGATATTATCTAACAAAACGTGCTGAAAGGTAACATGAAATATTGAATTTATGGTGTGATTGTAAATAGATAATGTTATATAAAAAGTATGGTTTAACTTCGATAACTCAAGTTTTCTAAACGATTCCTTTAATGCTGTGCGAATATCCATTGAAGTCGGGCAATAAAATCAGTATAAGCGTAATCCAATTTTGTGTTTGTTACAACCCGCGATACATTTGTAACATTTCCATAAGCGGTGATAACGCATTTGCATTCGGCACATTTTCGCTCACTGATTCAAGTGAATCCCGTGAAATGCGAAGGAAAACGCGTCTCACCTTAGTTTCCATCCGCGCATTCATCGGAAAGTTTTCCACCCTGAAAATCTTATTACGTACGTACATTTTCTCTTCATGCATTTCCATCCCGCTGCATTTCCCTGTATACCATTTCTAAATATTACAATTGCGGTATTTACTTTTGAAATTGCAATTTTTATTTGCTTCCATTCTGCAAATGGTCCTTCCTTCTTTTCGCAGCTCTATTTACGTAATTTCGGTGAAGGCTCTCTCGCGCCATTCCCAGCTACAACTTCTTGCCCGCACCAGCACATCCAGTTTTTCTTCCTCGAAAGAATATTACAACCAATTTCCACCCATGAAAACCGCTGCAAAACCATTAAAGCGTAAATTGACAAAACCCAAACGCCGTTTAAGGAGTGTAAAGATAGGGGTTCGGAATGCTTTTGTTCTCTCCGCTGCTTGATTTTCCGGAACTCCTAATTGCGTTTTATTAGAGGGTTTCGAATTGAAATCAGCACAACCGAGGCAATCAGGTTTTATGATTTTCCACAAAAACTTCCGTTTGGTAATTGTTATACCGTTTTCTTTTTTACCTTAATAGTCGAAAGTGAAATTTATTTGTCTGCGTCGGAAAACTTTGCGCACTTTTCATCCTTAAGAAAAAAGCGAATTGAACACTAACTTATACTCAAATACTTTTCCCAAATTTCATAGTTTCAACATTATATAAAATATTATCTGAAAAAAGAACGCACATTATTTAATGAGAAGATAATTGAGGATGTTTTTTAAGAAAAAGTTAATGTAAATAAATTATATTTCTTGATTTTTGTTTCTTGTTAAGTTTCTGATAATATTTGAAAAAAATGGAATTATTTCAACTATTTAAATATATAAATTTTGTAGTTTCATAAAAAAATAAATAATTAATAATATTTTTTCTTAAATATTTAATTAAATTTAACGCTTTAGTCTTACACATTGATTTAGGTAATAACTACCAAATTTGTGAAAATATTTAATACTAAATTAATTACTTTTCAAATACGTTCATTGATCTTCAAAATTTTAGAACGATTTAGATAATAACCACCAAATTTCTAAAAACATAACTTTCAGCGTTATGATTTACATATTTCAACTAGAAACATTCTGAAATTTCAAATACTTTTCTTGTCTTTTGTGAATAAAATAAATGATTAATTAAATATATTTTAAGCAAAAAACTACTAAATTCAATTATTTGTATTGTTCCTTTTAGTTGCAACTTTGCAAAATTAATCATGAGACATTTCACTTGCAAATGATGTGGAAACATGCACGTTTCTCTTCAGTTTTCGTTTTCCCGGACGACTGAGAAAACAATGGTCATATATGATTGTTCTGTTTCGCTATTGTTGTCGACCCCCAGAGCACAGATCTTCTCTTTGCAATGGTATAGTATAGTCTCTTTCGAGAGTCATCAGCTTCCAAGATCCTAAACGAACACCCACTCATTGCCACAATTGGCTCTGCGCAACAAAAGAGAATCTTCATTAACACAATTTTATTTGATATTCGCTTGGAAGTGTCCTGTGTACACTTCAGTTATTTCTAGATTCTAATTGCAAAGTCGTCCTCAATTTGCATTTAAGTATAAAATTGTAAATATGAAAAAGAAAACTGAATTTATTAAAAATACATAAAATAACAGATTTTTTAAATTTGTCGTCATTTCTTTCCCGGTTTTTATATGCAGTCATTAGTAAACATTGAGGATAAGTTATGGAAAAGTATACGATCAAAATTGCAAATGGTGAACATTCTACGAAAACTGTTCGAAAATTCTCTACTTTGTTTGGTCAATTTGAGAACGTAAGAAATTAAGTTAGTAGTAATTTATATATTTCATATTCATGAAAAACTTTCAGAAATGTCTGAAAACACAAAGTAGATTATTTTTATGGATTTAATTGTATTGAAACCTTAGTAAATGTACTAAAATTGTTTTATCTATTTTAAATTAAAGCCTACTCAAAATATTTATATAAGTAATGTAAAATGTTCAGTAATGAATTGCACTAAATATTTAATTTATTTATATAACTTGACTCAAATTAATTGAAAAAATAACACGTGTGTTAACAATTTGTTTTCATAATCTTTTTTTTCTTCAGAATTGCTTAGAATGACACAAAGAGCTTGTAGAGATTCAATTATAACGATAATTAATTGAAGCTTTAGTAAACTTACCAGTTTGTAAATTGGAACCTAGTAAAAGAGAAACAAGAAAATAAATACACCAATTATATTTGCATGTTTGAATGCGTATTAAATTTATTTCTTTTTTATTATTTTCATATTTTTCTTCTTCTCCAAAGTATAATTTCATTTAGTTATATTATCTGACTTAAATTAATTCATTAAAAAGAAAACAACACGTGAGAAATTAACATCTAGCGTTAGTTGTTAGTAAATTGTTACTTACTTGTAAACACTACAACAGAAATACAATAGAAACAAACTAAATATAAACAAAGCAAAGCATCATAACTAACATAATAATTAAACAAGAAAATACCATAAACCGATGTATGAGTGAATAAGACAATAAACAATATAATATTTAAGAAAAAAAAACTTAGTTACAATTAATTAATAAAAGCCATTTTAATATAGATAAATTCATTTAATAATAACAATTCTGTGTTTTTTCTTTTCTTCGTATATATTCTGTTCTGTTAAACTTAACTCGAGTTCATTTTTCGTGTTAACGTTTGTTTTATTCTTTTCTTCTTTGTGTCACTTGATTAAAACTTGTTCAGTCTTTCGATATGGTTTGTTTCCACACTAATACAAAAAAAAAACAAAAACCAAAAACAAATCAACAACAAAATAATACAAGTAGATGAGAGATGGTCCAAAAATTAAATGAAATGTTATCGCGTACGCATTGAACACAAACAGTGTTTGAGAGTCTTTTCAGTTCGATTTTTGTTTGTTTGTTGGTTTCCGTCGATTGTCCGGTTGGGATGTGCTGTGTCTCGAAATCATAAAATTCGTTTCCAAAAGTCGTTGGTTCTTGTGTATGTGCGAAATACGTGCGAGGGCCGAACTTAAAGATCCGTCAACGATTTGATTCTCAATTGTATTATTTTTATATAATATATAAGTTTTCCTTTTTTTCTTTATTCCGTTTTGGTTTTTTGCTTCCTTTGATCATCGATGAAGATGTTAATCGAAGACGCCGCCGTTCTCGAACTGCAGACACTTGGGGACGTGACCGGGACTGTTGACCATGTCCTTCTCGGCGAGGACGTAGGGCAGAGAGACCTTGGTGTCGGATGTCACCTCGACGGTGATGGTCTCCAGTTTCTTCTTCTTGAAGGTCCCCGTTTGGTCGTCGTCGGTGTCTTGCAGTTGGGATTCCTGCTGGTCGAGTGGTTTAACATCTTCATCGGCGGGGAATCGGGCTTCAGGCTGCGCCGATATGTGGGCCAGTCTGTATGCTACACGCTGCTGGTCAGCATGCCGGCGCTGTATACTCAGATCCGAAATGAGCCTGCCTTCACCCGAGACGCGCAAAAACTCAAACAGAAACACAAAAGCAGCAGGAGGACGGCACTTGCCAGCAGGTACACGGACCATGACAACTCGCAGTTACCTGAAATCATAGATAACGAAAACCATTATTAGTATGTATACTACTAAATCACACTACAACAAGAGATACAAATGTCTTTAAGAATTACCACTGGATTAATAATATGTTTCTGTATATTAATACATTGATATTAAGTTTTTAAAGCAAATAAAAGCAATGTTGAATTTAATGTGTTGTAATTTACACAATTTTTATTTACACGCGTTAAGTTTAGAAAACATGAAATCCACAAACATAAAAGTATCTACTATACAATTAATTTTGTTTATTTTTATTAAAATCTATAAAGAAATGATGTGCTAGACTAATAGTTACAATAATTAATATAATTACAGGAAAAAAAATGTAAAAATTTAATATAAAAAATAAAATTGACTTTTATGGAAATTACTATGAAATGGCTATGAAAAAAATATAAATAGTTAATTAGTAGTATTATTATTAACTTTAAAGTTTATGTTAATATACAAATATAATGGAAATACTAATAGTAAAACCAAAATGAAACACAATATAAATTATGATGTTATGTAAATCACATTGGTAAAATAAAAAGACAAACGTGCTTTCTACTAAAAACAAACAATAAGAGGGAAGTAACAAAATAAACGAAACAGCCGAAAGGATATCACAATAATAAAAGACAACTGGGACAAGATAATGAAAGAAAAAGCGACACTGACAAACAGGTGACAGTGACAGAGAAATACAAATGTACGGGGACAGTTGGTATTTGAAAGTGATGCTAAAACTGTCAGGATTTTGTTGAAGACGGCGAGATTAATATTATCATGATTTTCACATAAATACTTCAAGGTTCTACCCAAAGTTAATATATCCCTTTCAAAAACTAAATTATATTCGATTATTTTTAAAAAATCACTTTATGCAACGTTTTGCAAAACGTGTTCTAATCACACTATAATTTGTTGAAGAAACGAAATACGATGACATAAAGCTGATTATATTTCAAATGAGACGTGTGAGATAGAATTATACTAAATGTTAAGTGTTCAAATAAATAAGATCAAGGATGTCATACAGTAAATTATATAAAGGAGAGGGCGGATATATCAGCCGCTCGTCCAAAATAAGTTAAAAACGGTTATACTTGTATGTATTTTATTGAAATTGTCAATATGTAAGCTTATGAACTGTTAAACATCTGCTATCTAACGACGTGAGAGCATTCTCGTATTTGCCTAGCGTCAGAAGATAACAGAAATTCACACATACACAAAAAATAAATAGAACCGTAGCGTTTTTCATTTGCGCCAAGTAAATTCGACAGGCTTTCCGAGCGCAAATATTTGCCCAAATGTAATCCGTAGCCCGGGGTGAGACGCGATACGTGAAGGAATATCATTGCGGTGTTATCCGAATTGCGAGAATGAATACACGTATACACCTGACTTTTCCGGGAAATTCGCAGACATCAAAACTTTTCTAAAAAAAAAAAATAATAGAAATAAATGAACTACTGAAAATGTACGGTCTCTTTTGAATGAACGCCTGTGTTTTCCGGGACGAGGATTTTCCGAACTTTCTCGAAAACTTTTCGCCATCCAAAAATTTTAATGCGGTTTTAATAATTGAGTGCGTTTTAATGGGATCCGCTGCAGCTTTTCCTGGATGCATCCCGGACGCAATAAAATTCAACTTCCGGACCGGAAATTAGCTGTAGTTGGAATAACTCGCACAGAAACAGCAAATTTGAAGAAACGCTAGAGTCTCTCGGTGGGAATACTCAAAAGTGGTATTAGTGTGCAAGTGTCAGATGGTGGCTCAAACCGAGTGCATTAATATGGCAACTGAAGTCACTGATCCACGCGAAAGCTCGAAAGCTCTCCTACTTCAAGGCGAAACAATCACTTCAACGGTGTTCATTTTGCAGCTGCTCCCGTTCGGGGGGGCGATAGATGCAGCTATATTTCACCATGCACAGACACGAGCTCACACACATACACACACACGAACGCACGCAGGGTTGGAAGTTGCTCCTTCCTTCCATCCGCTTTTTTCCACCCCCAACGCACACCCTTCCTCTTTTTTTCGCTCTTTTATTCATGTAATCTAGCAGATGGAACCTGAATCGAGTCAAAGAAACAATTACACTCGTTTAACTGAAACGTACGCTAAAGCATGAATGCCAGAGTTCGCGGAATTTAGACACCTTGATCTATGATTTGATGAAAACACCTACAAAGTACACGCAATTCGATTCAGTGCACTCCTGTGATATTGTTCTTTGGTATTAACTAACTTTCATGGAAGAATAAATACTGGAGAAAGTATTTATTCTTGCAAATAATCATAATATACAACTATGTTTTTTTTGTAACAATTCTAACAAATTGTTATAATGTATGTAAATATTTTTTTTTTACATATTTTAAAGTATCCACGAGGACAATAAAAACATTAGGTTATACATTTATTTTTAATTATTTTGATAATCACGTTCGTTTTCTTAATGTAAAACAATGTATTTGTTTTAATATGTGATTAATTTCATTGAAAAATATTTTTAATAAAAGAATAATTGATTCATTTTTTATGTAATTTTATGAACAGTTAATATTGAGAACCAATCCATTTTAATTAGAATAAAATTTAAAAAATCTCATTTTTATTTTGATTCAATATATGATTAATTTCAATCAAAGTATATTTTTAATGAATGAATAGATTTTTTTCTTTCTCATATAATTTTGGGAATGGATACAATTGAAATCCAATCAATTTTAATTATGTTATTAATTGAGTTTCATATAATATTATTTCACTGATTTATGAAATATTTAAATTGAAATTTGTAATTAAAACTGGACCATTTTAATCAAAGTCTTTCTGCCAAATAATAATAATATTAAAAGAGTGTTAATCTATGTAATAAAATATTTGCTCGTATACATTTTTTTTAATTTAATAAAAAATTGTTTTAGTTGAAAACGCATTAATCTTCTGAAATGATAAGATTTAAATTCCAACTACATCCCGCAGATATAGTACGTCCATTAACTTTAATGCCGTTTTGATATTTCGTGTTGCATAATCATTGCTCCGGTGTGCACAGGGCAACGGTCGTAAAACACGTGGAAAAGAAGGGACAGAAATAGAAGAGTGGCCACGAGCATAAGTGCAGCAAAGTAAATAATTTCCTTGGGGGCTGTGTTTTATGGCTTTGATGTTGCATGCATAACATTTGCGAAATGCGAGTGCAGAGCCCGGAATGCACGTGCAGCTCTGCGGCCATCCGAGAAGAATCATTGAACTTTAATATGTAGACACTACTGACCTAGTCGGTAGATGTGGCTGGAATTCCCGCAGGACTCTCTGACCTCCCGATTATCCCATCCAATCGGATAAACCGCCGCACCCCCGACCACCAGCAACCCTGCAAATAGAAAGCAAAACTGTATTACAATGCACGAGAATAACGCAAGAAGGATACAAAGATACCAAAATATCAGGATATTAGTCCAGCTCAAATTACGGTGTCGAAGCTAATCCATAGGCTTTAGGCTTCAAGCTTTCACAATAGTTTTTTTAACAAAACCTTTTGATGTTAACGAGTCATATTTTTTTTGTCGGGGTAAATAGAGTAATGGAAGGCCGATGTGGCTACAATTATTGTTCGATTGAAGTCAAAGAGAGACACGGTAACAAAAGGTTAGCTGCAATGATCAAAGCCTATTATTTCAGTGCAAACCAAATTTACGTTTCCAGTTTTAATGCCAATCAGCAGATATAATATTAATATTATATATCTGACGAATTTAATCCATATTATCATATTATATTGACGAAGTCGTAATTAGTAATTAATATCAATAGAACCGAGCCGACTGATCCAATTAATTTATTTTTAACCGCATCCCGTTTTTTTTTTACAATTAATTATATGACCGTTTATTATTCAATATCTGCTTTAAAATAGGTTTCATTAAATAAATAACATTGTTTCATATACTAACACCTTACTCAATAAGTTCATAAGATGACATACAGATGGCGCCTCTAACGACAAATCCGTACGTCTTCAGGAAGTACCAACCTTCAGACGACGCCTGTCAATTTCATGACAATCTAACGTTATTATAATTAATATTTGTTGTAATATATTCAATTTTTTAGTTATAACAGATTGTATTTTTTTTAATTTTCTGTTTTGTTTCTTGCATTTGAAAATTTATTAATTATCAGAATTTACTTAGCTCATTTTATAGTTTCTATATTTTCATACATTGGGATCGTTTTAGTCCTAATGTATAATTAATTAATTTTAAATATTTTTCAAGAAAAACTTTGAATTTCATATTTCAGAAGTATTTTAGAAATACTTAGTTGGGGCATAACACAAAAAAGGTTGAGAAACACTGGCGTACATCGAAATTGTAACTAATTGTAAAACAAAGAGTATGCAAAAATCATATTCAACATTTATTTAAAAAAAAATAAACCGTGTAAAAATGAAAACGTATAAAGAAAGTACCGTGTAAAACGAGGGTTAGGTGTACTCTATTATTATCCAATAACGAATAAAATTTCATTTATTATATAAAAGCGCAGTTCCAATTACAACAAGTTTACGCTTAAATAATTTTTGTAACAGGAAACAAAAATAAATAGAACACGCGGTGTCATTTATAAATTGCTTTGATTCTATGTCCCTTTGACGTGCGTCAGCCAATTGACATAATTGGATGAGTTTGCAAACGTGCTTTTTTTGTATTAATACGGTGCACACCAATAAATAACAACAAATTAAATAAATTCCGCAATTCGAGAGTCGAGTTGTTGTTGTTTAAACAAAAACGTTTCGATATTTTTAGCCGCATTTATCGAGTCGGCTCGTCCAGTGGGAGATCTCCATTACAAACACTGCACTTTCCACAATCCATGTGTATTTTATCCAAAAACAAAACAGTGCTTCATTTATTTGCATACGGTAATAAGCATTGCGTAAACAATAGTAATGTGGAAATAAAAGTACAATTGGTCAATATTATATGGACTTTTGTTGTGCATTGTTTAAATATTGGAATAAATAATTTAGGGTATATTTATAGATCAATAATGTTTATTTAAAGCTAACATTATTATATAATTTATTAGTAAATATAATATCAAAAACTATTTTTAAAGATTGTATATACAGTAGAACCTCGCTTAACAAGTTCAATCCGTTCCTAAATTTCCAGATTTTTACTCGTATAGTGAAACACGTTTTCCCATATAAACTAATGTAAATTACGTTCCATGCCGGCGAAAAATAAGTATAACTTGGTCTCGATTTTTCATGATTTTACGGGACTTCTCATCGTCACTCGTTATGCGATACGCCGCTCGTCAGCGAGTCATTTTTCTTACAATTCATTTTGCTCGTTAAGCGAAATGCTCGTTATACAAAGTTCCACTGTATTTATAATATTATTATGGAAAAAAATATAATATAAAAAATTACCACAAAATGAATTATATTTCTTCCTTTTTTTATTACATTTTATATGTAAATTCTATTTCTAAATTGATATAAATATGTATGTTTATTTCATTATTAATATAAAAATATATATATGAATATTTTTTGTATTGGAAAGCATAAATATTTATTTTATAATATGGCTAAAAAAAAGTCAATATGAAAATAATAATAATAAATCGTAATATATATGATAAAATGTTTGTATATTTATTCAGAATCATAACTATATTTATTTGAAATAATAATTACAAACCAAAACTATAAATGCAACTATGGATTTGAAAGCATGTTATTTAAACATGTTTATAGGCTATAATTAAGCCCTATTGACCGGTCGGAAATTATTTATAATATAGTACACAAGTTTTAAAATTGATGTAGTAGTCGTGCAATCCGGGATTTCTCATCGTCACACGTTATGCAAAACGTCGCTCGTTAACGGACTCATTTTTCATACAATTCATTTTGCTTGTTAAGAAAATAGGTTCCACTGTATTTAGTTGTAGCATAGCACAAAAAGGTTGGGAAACACTGGCGTAATAATAGTAGGAAAATATAATTTGTTGTATACATATGCAAAGGTTTATTGAAATAAATTTAATACAATGAAATATATGAGAATTATTAGAAATATAAAGTAAAAGCTGAAGCAAGAAAATTGCTTTTTATTACTGTAATTAAAATTTGTATACCTTAAAAATCATTAAAAAGTGAATCAAATTATTTATTAGGTATATGGACAAATATAATGTAAATATAATTAAAACTTTATGCAGAGTCAATTCCAAGTTTATCAAGAAGTTACAAAAGCTTTAGATAAACCAACAAATTAAATAAAAAGATAAATAAATAAACATTGCTTCGTGTTAATTAAATGTTAAGAAATGCTGTAAATTGACTTTGTAAATGTATTTTTTTATGTTTTTTTTTTACTATTACATAATAGCGAATGACAGTAGTAAAATCTATATATTATCAATCGAAATATAACAATCTTTGAAAATATAACATTGAAATTATTTGAACGGTATATGGAAGAGTAAATAAAATCAATATTCAGATGCTTTACGTTATAATGTAATTACGCTATTAATAATTTAAAACACGTTATGTACGTATTGCGAATTATCGATTTATGATTTTCAGGCTTTAATATGCAAAATAACTCACGTAGATATTTCGTTTAAGTAAATGAGTTTGTATATGTAATAAATCGTAATAAATAATATAGGTTTATAAAATAAAACACACAAAATTTTGCGATCAAATTAATCATTTATCAAAATGTAAGTAGTGAAATTTATACAAAATTTTAAAAATATTATATTAAAACCGACATTAAATATATTTTTCATTTATTATTATTTTTGATATATTTTGTTTACTTCTTACTACTACTTAAACTAAGGTCCATTGTTCTTTTGAGCCTAAATTTTTCGATTTTTTGCATAATATGAATTAATTCACTTTTTGATAATATAATTTGTCCATATGTGTAAATACTCACTCCAGCTCGCTTATATGACGTCACTTTCCAGCCCATAGCTGGATATTCCAGAAAGGACTGATAAGGGTACTACCTCTTCATGGTATATAAGGTGTAGCATATCTATAATCCTTCTCATTTGTTGCTCTTGTCTCATGTCTTAATATCTGGTAAGGTTCTCCGTATCCATATAACCGAGCATTCTCCAAAATAGGATAGTTATTTTATTAATATGATATTAAAAATAAAGATTTTCTTATGAATCTACAAAATTGGATCAAATATACACCGCCTCTGCCCATCCCTCGGCGACTGCTTCACTAAAACCCTGTTCCACATCTACAAAACCTTCCTCCGTCCCGTCTTCATCTATCCATCCACTATCCTCTAAATCGCAAACCCAACCTGGCCTTCAGCGAATCCGCAGCTTCGAAAGAAATGTCATCCGAAAAATACTAAAACTACATTATCTACAGCTCGCATCTTCACGACCTAAACTCACTCCCCAAAATCTCCGAATTCATCCACAAACTTCAAGGCCGACATATCGCCAAAACCTTCTCCCGGAACCACCACACTCGCACCCTTTACGTCCGCCCACCAATCTCCGCCAGCGTCCACAAACCCAAAAAAAAATCCCTTTTCCACCGGTAATTCTCGCCCACAACGCACCCCCGGACGACGACCCAGATATAGCACAATTCCTAAACACCGTCAAACCAATCCTTCCGCCTACCAAACCCATCCTCCGCCTACCAAACCTTGCCAACTAATCATTCTTTCAGCTAGCATAAGAATAATACATAAACACCAAACTTTTTTATTAAATTTTTTTATCTTGTTATCATCATGCATATATTGTATTCTGGCTAAATGAGCAAAAGCAACATGTGTTGCAACATTTATAAAATTTTCATAAATGTAATGACAATTACATAAATCATTGTAATTATAGAATGATAATTTCATATTCATATTTTTTTTTCGAAGTTCCAATTATTTCCAGTAAATCTAGTTATTGGGAATGATTGGAACTGGTTTATAGACTATAAACTCAAATTTGTAAGGTACGTATTTGGATGGATGCAATGTGAAGGCCATTCCATCAGAACGTAATTGCACCATAAATAAGTTAAAACAAGGTCCCGCGTTTCAGTTTTCACGTGTATCTTGCTAATAAACGAGGTGGGCCGAGCATAAAGTATCATTTCGCGGACTCGGCAAAACTAAATTGCTGAGTAATGGCTTTCGGCGAAATGCTAATTAAAAACAATCCCAAGACAGTTTTCCCCGGAGCGCTCGCTTTTATTTCATTTTTTTTTGCTGCATGCGCCGGAGCTATTTAAGAGAGGAAACTGGATCTGCGGGAGCCAGGTTTGGGCTAAAGAAAACCGGGCGGAA